TATATATATATATATATATATATATATATATATATATATATATATATATATATATATATATATATATATATATATATATATATATATATATATATATATATATATATATATATATATATATATATATATATATATATATATATATATATATATATGACGGGATTGTATTTAGTAAATTAAAAACACCATCCAAGTTTAATTATAAATAATAATATTGTATTTAGTAAATTAAAAACACAGATCTGTGTTTTTAATTTACTAAATACATCATTATTATTCATGGTTAAACTTAACTAAATAAAATATTATTATTTATAGTTAAAACTCACCACGCTCATCTACCATCTTACCAACATTTTATTTCCACACGTTCGGAACAGTGCGCATAAACTACAACTGTTTAAAAAACTATCGACATTTGGTGCTAAAATATAGATAGCTTAAAAGCCGCAATATGTAGCTAAAGACTTTTCGTTATCTTCTAGCTAGCTAAATCACAACTATATGCAGCTATCGACATTTCGCATTCAAATCGATAGCTAAAAAGCTGCGATATGTAGCTGTCAACATATCGTAATAAAATTCTTACTTTTAAAGATCCATTATTATTAACATTATTTATGCCGACCTTGTAGCTAGTTACAAAGGCTTACAAATATGAAACTAGCGATAAATCGTAATAAAATCTTTGTCAATAAAACTGCATTATACAGTTAGCAAGTAGCTATCGATTTGTGGCTACCTTGTAGCTAGCTATAAAGCTACAATATGTAACTAGCGATAAATCGTAATAAAATCGCTATCTAAAAACTGCAACATATAGCTAGCGACTAACTATAGATTTATCGCTATCTAGTTACCAGCTAAACAATTGCGATATGTAGGTAGCGTCATATCGCAATAAAATCGCTATCTATAAAACTGCGTTACGTAGCTATCAACTAGCTATCGATTTTTGGCTACCTTGTAGCTAGCTACTTAGCTGCGATATGTAACTAGCGATCCATCATAATAAAATTGCTGTCTCAAATAAAAATGCGATATGTAGCTATTAACTAGCTATCGATTTGTGGATATCTTGTAACTAGCTATAAAGCTACTATACGTAACTCGCGATAAATCGTAATTAAATCGATAGCTAAGAAGCTGTGATATGTAGCTATCGAATACCTATAGATATATCGCTATCTAGTTACCAGCTAAACAATTGCAATTTGAAGCTAGCGTCTTATCGCAATAAAATCGCTATTTATAAAACTGCGTTAAGTAGCTATCAACTAGCTATCGATTTGTGGCTACCTTGTAGCTAGCTATAAAGCTACAATATGTAACTAGCGATAAATCGTAATAAAATCGCTATCTAAAAACTACGATATATAGGTAGCGGCTAGCTATAGATTTATCGCTATCTAGTTACTAGCTAAACAATTGCGAAATGTAGCTAGCGTCTTATCGCAATAAAATCGCTATCTATAAAACTGCGTTACGTAGCTATCAACTAGCTGTCGATTTTTGACTATCTTGTAGCTAGCTACAAAGTTACGATACGTTACTAGCGATAAATTGTAATTAAATCTATAGCTAAGAAGCTGCAATATGTAGCTATTGGATAGCTATAGATATATCGCTATCTAGTTGCCAGCTTAACAAATGCGATATATGTAGCTAGCGTCATATCGTAATAAAGTTGCTGTCTATAAAACTGCTTTACGTAGCTATCAACTAGCAATCGATTTTTGGCTACTTTGTAGCTAGCTACTAAGCTGCGATATGTAACTAGCGATAAATCGTTATAAAATCGCTGTCTAAAAAAATGCGATATGTTGCTATTAACTAGCTATCGATTTGTGGCTATCTTGTAACTAGCTACAAGGCTACGATACGTAACTAGCGATTAATCGTAATTAAATCGATAGCTAAGAAGCTGCGATATGTAGCTATCGAATAGCTATAGATATATCGCTATCTAGTTGTCAGCGATATGTATCTAGTATCATTTCGTAATAAAATCGCTGACTAAAAAACTGCGATATACAGCTAGGGATATATCGTTACAATATCGCAATGTTTAAAGTTCAATTATTTTCATAATTATAATAGATCCAACACTAAAAATCAAATTTTCAATGATGTTAAAGACTTAAGGAAAAAATTAAATAAGAAAAAAAAAATCGCTCAAAAATCGCAATAAAGCTAGCTAGTCGCTAGCTAATCGCTAGCTCGCTTCCCACCGGGTAGTTTTAAAACCAGTGAATTAAACTTTTTAACAATTTTTTTTTTTTAATAACTATTGTAAATAAAAATATCTTTAATAATTAAAAATTTATTAGTTTACATAAAATTAGGTATATCAATATGTGAATCAAATATGATGTATTATATGTGATGATATATTAGGTATATAATATGTGAATCAAATATGATACGTCACTCTTCTGGTGGTGGGAAACAAAACCTTGCCCTCCCAGTCATTCGCATCGGCATTTTATTATCATATGCCATATTTTTACTCAAATAATGTATTAAAAGTCACATAGCTTCTTGATTGGAAGAAAATTGAATTAGCATAAAAGAAAAACAATATTCCGATACCACGATCGATATAACCAGTAAATAGCGCCAATATGGCTATAACGAATTAAATAACAATTATGTGGCGACTATTTGAACAATAGTGTTTTTTTGTTATTGAACAAAATTTTTGTATAAATAGAGTTTTGTTATTGTTGTTTTTCAACATACAAAAATATAAAGAATATAAGTAATATAGTAATGTAAAAACGGTTAAGATCTTAAAAATATAAGTTATAATACATATTCGCTATTATTTGTGATCGCCATCGGATCATAATTGGTAGCAGAGGGTAGTTTCTTCAACACCAATTTTTGTTGAAGAGGGTAGTTTCTTCAACAATGATTTTTGATTTTTTCTTTTTACCAAGAATGGTAAAAAGAAAAAATCAAAAATCAAATAACCAAATGGAAGATCAATTAACCGTTCAAAATGAAGTATCTGCATTGAACAGGAAGAAAATAGTTCTAAAGTCTTCGTTTACGCGAACTAAACATCAAATTATTCAGCAAATTGGAGATGATGAACCCACTTGTAAAAACAAGTTACGCGAATTGAGTAACCAATTAACAAAGACTCAAAACGAAGCTCTCGAGATAATGGTTGAATTATCAAAGAAATACGAACTTCTGGAATCAAGAGAAAATGTAGGAAAACTCACTACAGAAATTGAAAAACTAAACGACGAATTTGCGGAAATTATGGAACATGTAAATGAATGGATATTGCGCAATGGAAGTTTAAAATCAAGTTTAAAACAACAAAGGATGGAAAAAGAATTTAAAATGGAAAAAAAAAGCAATGTTATCAATGGTTAAGTACTCAAAAAAGTAATGACCAGTATGAAGATAATAAAGAAGAAAATGGGAATAGCGAAATGGAACCAATCAAATCAACGCATATCATGCGTAAATGGAAAATGAAATAATTGATTTGGATCAAAAGACTGCAAAAATTGGACATGATTTATGGAAACAACTCAAACGCGTCTCTATACCAATATTTAATGGTGATAAAAAGAACTATGAAAATTGGAAAGCTTCATTCTACGCATGCATTGATCAAGCCCCAGCGACATCTGAGTATAAATTACTTCAGTTACGTCAATATTTATGTGGAGACGCATTAAAGCAATTGAAGGACTTGGGCATTCGTCATTCGCTTATGAAGCTGCAAAAGAAAGACTTGAAAGAAAATATGGCGGAACAAGGAGAAAAATCCTTATGTATTTGGATGAATTGAACAACTTTAAACCTATGAGGGAAAGTAATCCAAAAGACGTTGAAAAGTTTGCGGATTTGTTGGATGTGGCAGTAACAAGCTTAAAAGAAGCAAATCGAACAGAAGAACTTGGCGATGGGACATTGTACCATCAATTGCAAAAAAAAGTTCCTGAGATAATGTTAATTAGATACAAACGATGGGTGTATGAAAACAAATTAAACGAAAATGTTAAAACTCTAAAAAAGTTTTATTGTTGAAGAAGCAGATTTTCAAATTGCAGCGACGGAAACTCTACATGGTTTAAAAAAAAACTATTGGCAGCAAAGCACACGAAGGAAATTCTTACTTTGGTAACAGTGATCAAAAAAAGAAAATAAATTGGATACAGAAATGTTCTGTTTGCAAAAACGATCATAAAATATGGGAGTGTCCAACGTTTCAAAATTAAAATATTAAAGAAAGATGGGAGACAGCTAAGAAAAATAAACTCTGCTTTAGATGCTTGAATTCTAACCATTCGTCAAAAGAATGCAATAACACAAGAATTTTTGGGATTGATGGCTGTACAGATACCCATAATCGTTTGCTTCACAAGAAAAGTCATAAAAAAGAAACAATTTCTGAAGACTACAAAGAAAAAGACACGATATTAGAAAATTCTCATACGTCGAACATCCAATTTCATTCAAATCTCGTCATGAACTACATATCTTTGAGAACGGTGCCAGTTATTCTTCGTAATGGATATAAAAAAGTTGTGGTAAACGCATTGCTTGACGATGGAAGTACCAAGACATATTTGAAGTCTGATGTAGCGGCTGAGTTGTCACTGCAAGGTAAAACCGAAAAAGTAACTTTAAACATGGTAAATGGAAAAATTGATTCTTTCGAAACGATGCCGGTAGAATTTCAGTTGGAATCGTTGAATGGAGAAACAAAAATTCAGTGGAAGTTTTTACAGTTAATAATGTTACTGGAAACTTAAAAACTTAATTGGGCAAATATGTCAAAAAGTTGGAAACATCTAAGAAAAATCGAATTTCCAAAAGTCTAGGAGAAGAGTACAATAAAATTGTTAAGCAGTATCAAGAAAAGGGATACTAGGAGAAAATCAATAAAAGGGATCTTGGAGATGGTTGGTACTTACCGCATTTTCCAATTCTTCGTCCTGATAAATCAACTACAAAAGTCAGAATTGTGTTTGATGGATCTATCAAAAGCCCGAGTAAGTCCATTGCAATCTATTAGTATACCAAGACTTGAGTTACTTGGAGCTGTCCTCGGTTTACGACTTGCAGAGAAGATTGTCAAGGCATTGAAGCTGGAAACTAAGGACGTAACTATATGGTGTGATAGTCTTAATGTTTTATGGTGGATAAAAAATCAAAGTCGAAAGTTGAAACCATTTGTTGCCAACCGTGTTGGATTCATTCAATCAAAGACTGAACTAAAACAATGGAGATACATACCAACAAAAACTAATGTAGCTGATTTACTAACAAGAGGAACAACAGTTAAAGTATTATAAAGCAATTATGTATGGTGGCATGGACCAAGTTTCCTTAAACCTTCATAAGAAAAATGGCCACAGAATCACATTGAAGTTACACAAGAGGCTTCAATTGAAGTAAAGAAAAATCCAGTATTAATGAATTTTGCATTATCCACTGAAGTAACAAAGCAATTGCTTGATAAACAAGTTCTCATGTTGGAAAAAACTTGTCAGGATAAACGGCTGGATCCATCGGTTCATAGGAAATTGTCGATTTGAAACAGACTTTCGTAAAAAGGGTGATATAGCAGCTGATGAATATCATGAAAGCGAAAAAGAAATCATAGCTAAAGCTCAAAAAGAAAGCTTTAAAGAAGAATATAGCAAAATTGAAAAAAGAAAACCGATATCGATATCTAGCAAAATCATTTCTTTAAATCCGCAAATCGACGAAGACGGATTATTGCGATCTTGCAGTCGATTGCAAAACGCCCATTACTTACCCTACGATGTCAAGTATCCAATCATTTTGCCGAGAGGACATACAATAACAAAATTGATTGTTAAGCATTACCATGACGAAGCCAATCATGTGATGAGAACAAATCAATTATTAACAAAACTATCAAAACGATATTGGGTAATACGAGGACGAGAAGAAATCCGAGATGCAGAAGCAAAATTCAACAAATGTAAATTAAGAAGATGTAAACCTGCTCAACAGCTGATGGCCCCTTTACCAGCAATGCGTTTTAAAAAACCACTACGTGCGTTTGCTAGAATTGGGATCGATTTTGCGGGTCCATGTCTTACTATGCAAGGTAGAGGGAAGATACGACAAAAGAAATACTTGTGCTTGTTTACCTGTTTACTATCACAAGCAGTACATCTTGAGATGGCTTATAATCTAGATACATATTCATTCCTCAATGTCTTTTATCGAATGGTGAATAGAAGAGGATTACCATTAGAAGTTTTAACGGACAATTGAACAAATTTTGTTGGAGGATGTCGAGAACTAAACGAAATTGTCAACGACTTAGATAAGGATAAAATTACTAACTCTACAGCTGATAAAGGAATCAAGTGGCACTTTAATGCTCCGCTAGGACCTCATCTTGGCGGTGTATTTGAAATAATAGTCAAAGCTGTCAAACGTGCAACGACTGGGATACTCGAAAAAGCCGATATTACAGATGAAGAACTCTGTACGGCATTTACAGGTGCTGAGAGTTCATTGAATTCTTGCCCACTAACATATCAGAGTGCCAATATAAAAGATAATATTCCATTAACTCCAAATCATTTTTTGATTGGGCAAGTTGGTAGACAATTTGCACCTGACTCAGTTCAATCTAAAGGCTATCATCCTAAAAAGCGCTGGCGTCGAGTGCAAGAACTACTAAGTCGTTTTTGGATGCGAGAATGGCTTCCATCTTTATCTAAAAGATATAAATGGACTCAGAAAAAACGCGAAATAAAAACGGATGAGATTGTGTTAGATTGTGTTAATTTCTCCAGATACATCTAGAGGACATTGGCCACTTGGTAGAATTACGGGAGTCTTTGAAGATAAGGATGGACGTGTAAGAGTTGTGAAAGTCAAAATAGGCGAAAAAAAATTTATACGACCAATTACTAGATTGTGTCTTCTTGAGTTTGATAATTAAATGTTTGATAGACTGGAGTCTATCAAAGAGGGGGAGAATGATTGGAAGAAAATTGAATTAGCATAAAAGAAAAACAACATTCCGATACCACGATCGATATAACCAGTAAATAGCGCCAATATAACGAATTAAATAACAATTATGTGGCGACTATTTGAACAATAGTATTTTTTTGTTATTGAACGAAATTTTTGTATAAATAGAGTTTTGTTGTTGTTGTTTTTCAGATACAAAAATATAAAGAATATAAGTAATATAGTTAATGTTAAAACGGTTAAGATCTTAAAAATATAAGTTATAATACATATTCGGTATTTTTTGTGATCGGATCACTTCTTTAGTTTAAGCTGTACATCAAGTGTCCGGAGTTACCCGCCGTCCGGGGCTACCCGACTTTTCCCTATATATAATATATATATATATATATATATATATATATATATATATATATATATATATATATATATATATATATATATATACATATATATATACAGTAGTGGCCATTGAATTAAGTCACCTTACGGTTTTTGGATAAATTTAGTATAACTTTGAATGTGACTCTTAAATATGCAAAGTATTATATGTCCATGCCATTAAATGAATCAAATTAAAATTTTTCGCATATCTTTGTTTAAAAGACGTCATCAAAGTTTATTAAAGTTCTTTTTTTAAAGTAAATAGTAAATAAATTAAATAAAGTAAATATGGGTAAAAAAGGAGATTTGAGTGAATTTTGTTAAAGGTCAACAAGGGTTGAATTAACGCTAGGGTTGTTAACCGGAGGATTTCGTGCAATTCCGGAAAAACAACATTCTTTCGTAAGGTGATTGAGAACACGGAATTACATTTTTTCGTACCGAATGTTACGAAACATTTAAAATCGCCGATGTTCATTTCGCAAAAGCCACTTCCGAAATTTAGCATTTCGCAAGTTGACATACGAAACAAAACTATTTTGCAACATACGAAAGTAGCGGTTTCGGAAGTCGCACTTGCGAAACAAACATTTTTGCCAAACGACGTTTTGAAGTCTATAAAAAAAATTTGTTTGCCAGACTGATTTTAATTGTAAAAATTAACATCTTTAAATCCCAAAATGTTTATAATGAATTTTTATTTTCAGTAAAATAACTTATTAAATTTTTACGGTTTTATTTTTAGAAATATTGATAAAAAATAAAATTTCTTTCGAAACGAAAGTATTTTGGATCACAACATACGAAAGAATTCTTAACGGAAATAAACTTACGAAACGTGCCATAATAAATATATACAACGATGTTTTTTGAACTCATTACGTATATTAAAAATAAGAATGATGGGTAGGAATATACATGTTTTTTTTTTAAAGCATATGAAATTTTTGAAACAGGTTCGAATATGCTTAAGCAAATAGTAAAAAGAGGCTCAAAAATATGCTTTAGCTTAAGCATATTTCTGATAAAATATATTTCAATAATTTCTAAAAGTGTGCACGTTACTAAAATTCTAGCAGATTTTAAAGGTATGTAGAGTCCTGTTTGAATACGCTTTTCAAAGTATAGATCATAGAAAATATTGTTTTTTAATTTTAATAAGATATAAATTTGAGTATAAGATTGTATAGTTCATCGTATCAGTTAGATACGTGATAATTCGCCGCAGAGATCCGGGTTCGCATCCCGCAGTCATTGTAACTTTTGTTCATCAAACTCTTTTTACTTAAGATAGCATTTTTTGACCTCCATGTTCTATATTACAGATCTTTTGTCGCCTTCACAATAGTGACAACCTCTCTTCTGTTAGTTATTCTTTTAAGATTGAGTTCATTGTGCATAATTTAACACGTTTCCCTTGCTTTACTAAGTTCTACTTAAATTATGATGAAATGTACGTAAAACAATTTTTTCAAATAATATAATTCATTTTGCTTTAAATCTTTTGCTTTTTGAACTAGACATCTGTCCTAAATACTTTGTAATAATTTCTAGCTAACTCTGAGTCTAATATAACCATTTCTGAATATAATTTCCCTGAGGCTCCTACAGCCTATTGTGTTCCATTAAAAGTAACTAGTTTTTGAGTCCAGATATTAATTATAAGCATCTAAAGGTTCACATTACTATTCATTTTCCTGATATATAGAATCCTATTTGCATACGTATCTCTTTCTGTAAATTCTGTTTTATATAGTTTCAAATTATATATTAAATAAATATTACTATTCTCTTAGTTAAATGAACGTATAGCTCATTCAGTTAAGACATTTGGCCGCGTAGACCCAGGTTCACATCCCGCTGTTTCACATATATTTCTTCTCTTTTTACTCTTTCTGATATCATTTACCTTTAGAGAGATCTCTCGTTCTTTATAATAAAGTATTTAATTGTTTATCACACATCCTCTTTATACTTTTTAAAAAGAAAGGCATACTGTTTATCTATTCATTGAGAGTTAAACTTAACGGGATTTTACTGTATATATAAGTATATATTTATATATATATATATATATATATATATATATATATATATATATATATATATATATATATATATATATATATACATATATATACAGTAAAATCCCGTTAATGTATATATATATATATATATATATATATATATATATATATATATATATATATATATATATATGAATATATATATATATATATATAAATATATATATATATATATATATACACATATATATACAGTAAAATCCCGTTAATGTATATATATATATATATATATATATATATATATATATATATATATATATATATATATATATACATTAACGGGATTTTACTGTATATATATGTGTATATATATATATATATATATATATATATATATATATATATATATTATATATATATATATATTCATATATATATATATATATATATATATATATATATATATATATATATATATATATATATATACATTAACGGGATTTTACTGTATATATATGTATATATATATATATATATATATATATATATATATATATATATATATAAATATATACTTATATATACAGTAAAATCCCGTTAAGTTTAACTCTCAATGAATAGATAAACAGTATGCCTTTCTTTTTAAAAAGTATAAAGAGGATGTGTGATAAACAATTAAATACTTTATTATAAAGAACGAGAGATCTCTCTAAAGGTAAATGATATCAGAAAGAGTAAAAAGAGAAGAAATATATGTGAAACAGCGGGATGTGAACCTGGGTCTACGCGGCCAAATGTCTTAACTGAATGAGCTATACGTTCATTTAACTAAGAGAATAGTAATATTTATTTAATATATAATTTGAAACTATATAAAACAGAATTTACAGAAAGAGATACGTATGCAAATAGGATTCTATATATCAGGAAAATGAATAGTAATGTGAACCTTTAGATGCTTATAATTAATATCTGGACTCAAAAACTAGTTACTTTTAATGGAACACAATAGGCTGTAGGAGCCTCAGGGAAATTATATTCAGAAATGGTTATATTAGACTCAGAGTTAGCTAGAAATTATTACAAAGTATTTAGGACAGATGTCTAGTTCAAAAAGCAAAAGATTTAAAGCAAAATGAATTATATTATTTGAAAAAATTGTTTTACGTACATTTCATCATAATTTAAGTAGAACTTAGTAAAGCAAGGGAAACGTGTTAAATTATGCACAATGAACTCAATCTTAAAAGAATAACTAACAGAAGAGAGGTTGTCACTATTGTGAAGGCGACAAAAGATCTGTAATATAGAACATGGAGGTCAAAAAATGCTATCTTAAGTAAAAAGAGTTTGATGAACAAAAGTTACAATGACTGCGGGATGCGAACCCGGATCTCTGCGGCGAATTATCACGTATCTAACTGATACGATGAACTATACAATCTTATACTCAAATTTATATCTTATTAAAATTAAAAAACAATATTTTCTATGATCTATACTTTGAAAAGCGTATTCAAACAGGACTCTACATACCTTTAAAATCTGCTAGAATTTTAGTAACGTGCACACTTTTAGAAATTATTGAAATAGGTATATTTTATCAGAAATATGCTTAAGCTAAAGCATATTTTTGAGCCTCTTTTTACTATTTGCTTAAGCATATTCGAACCTGTTTCAAAAATTTCATATGCTTTAAAAAAAAAAACATGTATATTCCTACCCATCATTCTTATTTTTAATATACGTAATGAGTTCAAAAAACATCGTTGTATATATTTATTATGGCACGTTTCGTAAGTTTATTTCCGTTAAGAATTCTTTCGTATGTTGTGATCCAAAATACTTTCGTTTCGAAAGAAATTTTATTTTTTATCAATATTTCTAAAAATAAAACCGTAAAAATTTAATAAGTTATTTTACTGAAAATAAAAATTCATTATAAACATTTTGGGATTTAAAGATGTTAATTTTTACAATTAAAATCAGTCTGGCAAACAAATTTTCTTTATAGACTTCAAAACGTCGTTTGGCAAAAATGTTTGTTTCGCAAGTGCGACTTCCGAAACCGCTACTTTCGTATGTTGCAAAATAGTTTTGTTTCGTATGTCAACTTGCGAAATGCTAAATTTCGGAAGTGGCTTTTGCGAAATGAACATCGGCGATTTTAAATGTTTCGTAACATTCGGTACGAAAAAATGTAATTCCGTGTTCTCAATCTCCTTACGAAAGAATGTTGTTTTTCCGGAATTGCACGAAATCCTCCGGTTAACAACCCTAGTTTAAATCAGGACACTTTTTGTCTGCTAACCCCCCCCCCCCGCAGTTTCGCCACTGAGAATAGTACTGACATTTACTTAAAACTAAAAACAGAGGTGTTCAATTTAATAAATTTTAGTTATAAAGAAGTATATT